GGGCTCGGAAGGAGCTCAAGGAGCCAGGAGGGAAGGTGGTGACACAGCGGGGTACAAACCACGAGGGCAAGAGTGCCCGGGGAGATTGGCCAGGCTGGTGGATGCAGTCAGGGAGGGGCCAGGCCTTGCTGTGCCCTGTAGCCAGGCTGTGCTGGGAGCTGTGGGGCTGCCCCTCTCCTGCTCTGCCCGACCCACACCTGCCCAGCCATTCGGGCCACGTACCGGCTGCCTTTTGTGCGGGTGAGCCGATAAAAACATTGGTTTGTATTTTTCAGCTGCGTATCTTCTACTTGCAGGGTCTCGGCGCTCAGCTGCGGGCACCCAAACTACCCAATGTGAAGAGGGACCCCTAATACCCCTCTGACAGAGACCCACCCGTGCTGCAGATGAGGCCGTCGCTGGCTAGCTCATGCAGAGGAAAGAGAGAATGAAAAAACTGGGTGAGGCTCCGATCAGCAAGAGGCTAATCAAGTTTCCCAACAGTCAGTCTAGCTGGGTGCCCCTGTGCTATACATGTCCGACAGACGCTTTTGTAATTCACTGCTAGCTGAAAATAACTGTTAGTCTAAATATGCCTCCTCAGCAACGCTCCCCAAAAAACATAGGTGTGAAGATAGTAGTGGCCCTTACCCACATGTGAGCAAGAATGTTGACTTCAAACATCCTTTCAATCTGGTGGTCCTGAGTTGAGAGCAGGTCGGCAGCTGTAATCACACCGGCGTTATTCACCAGGATGGAGACATCCCCAATGTCCTTCTTCACCTTTTGGACAGAAAAAACCAGAAAGGTGCATGTCATTTGTTATCAAAAAAATGCAAGGCTGTGGAAGATGAGCGACAATTAATTTAATTGTTACCATTCTTTCTTTTAGGGAGAGGAAGATTGCGCCATGTTTCCAGATGTGGTAGGACCTGTGCAGTAGTACCATGAAATCTGGTTTAGATCTGAGACCTCTCCCTTAATTACTGCCAGTGCTTACAGTCTTCCTCCACACGTTGCCTACAGACACAGCGTGCTCCGTGTAGTCACAGTTGGACTATGGATGTGCAGACTGTTTTGAGCCAGTTGCACCATATCCGTTACAATAAAATATTTCAAATGTCCCCAGTGTTGTCTGTGTGCTGCTCAGGAAACTAAAAGGCTGAAGTTCCTTCAGGGACTGGAAGTCTAAAGAGCAAACTTGGCAACAAGGCGTGATATGCCAGAGCCCCCCAGAAGAGGATGAGATTGCCTGCGATCTCAGAAGTGCTGCTTCACTCTCCATATAGAAAGCAGCAAGAAGTGGGGAGATTCCAAGGGCTTGCACAATTTGCATACACTACCCCTTCTCTTGTTTTCCTGACTCTTCTGAAAATGGAGCATGTTTGGGTAAGCTTTTGGATGTGCCCCTGCTGCCCTACCTTCTCTGCAGCGCTGCAGATTTCCTCCCTTTTGCTGCAGTCCACCACGAAGGCGTGAACAGTGGCTCCCAGCCTTTCGCATTCTGCTGCCGTGTCCTCAACGCCATGCTGTAAGAGGCAGAAAAGACAGACATGCATGCGCAACTGTACCCTGTCCACGTGTTGCTGCTCGGGCACCGCGGCAGACCAGTTAAGAGGCTGAAGATTTGTCCTGATTGCATGACCGACTGCCAAGCCCCTGAACCGTTCACAGCTACCCAGGGAAAGAGCTGTAGCCAGCACCTGAGGGAGGGCTAGTATTCCGACCTAAATTTCGGACCTGCGTAGAGTGACTGCCAGAAAGGGAATGTGGCAACAAGAGCGAGTTTGCCTTGGTA